CAATTTTACTGTTGAAGTGCACTAATTATTATTAGCAGACTGGAAGTAAACTGTGGCAGGGAGTTATTATTGGTTTTTATCTTTTTGTTTCTCTGTCTGGAACTGAGTTAGCTCCCTGAGAGTGAAGGCAGATTAATTTACGTGTAAAGGGACTGCAGTTGTCTGGAGAATCAAGTGATCTTTTAAGTGAGAAACTCATCTGCCCCAAGACCAACTATAAATGCATGTATCTAAGTCACAGGTTCAACTTGCTCTTGAAGTTTCAATACAGAGATTAAATTTAGTCTATCTCCATATGTGGACAATCATGGCAGCACACAGTCTGTGAAAGATGAACACTCAACCAAAAAAATACTGCCTGTTTGTGTACTTTTAATGAAAACACATTTTGTCCCTGCATTTATCTGTAGTCTCATTACCGCTCCTAGTATAAATATTAGAAAATGTTTAAGGGCGAAGTGGCAGTGGCACAATCTAAAAAGACACATTTTTAACCATTGCTGGACAATGCAGACCAGTTTCATTTGATCATTCTGAATCTTTGTGGTCGCTTACCATCTCTCCAGACAAAGTCACCCCCAATAAAACAAGTGATTGGTCAGAAATGTGTGTCAGTGACAAGACCAAACATAGAATAGAACTGCTAAGTACAATTCTTTAACACATAGACACACAAGAGGATGCTTATAAACGAGCAGCAATTCCCTTAAAACATAGGTTTAAACTTTCAAGTCAGCTATTTTCAAAAGCAAAGCTACACTACTTATATTTGACTTAGATGGAAGCATATTAATTATGTGTAATATGCTTGGAATGTGTGGAAAATAAAAATTTTTCCATATGAGTCAGCACAGGAAATGAACTGCAAATGAGTAGAACGTTGAGTAGTCTACAGATGGAGATGGTTTTTTTTTTAATACTCCAGAGCAAAGTATTGACATCATGACTTCTTACAGAGCAAAGTACCACAGAAATGACTGATGACACACCAGAGACTGAATAAGAGCAAGCGAGAACTTCCTTCTGATCTGCATAGTTTAAGCTTCTCATCTGATGCAAACATTAATTTAAGAGTTTCTCTCTTTGTCGATGCCAGCTTTGCCTCCCTTTACTGGGCATTGCCAAAGCTTACCACATTCTTGCCGAACACAGAACGTTGTAGATAACACCAAGCCAAAACATCTCTGAATCTGCCTCGTTTTCTTTTCAGTGATAGGAAATAAACCAGCATCTTCTAAATAACAACCTACTGATACATCGCATGAGATACTTTGGTTTTCAAGATTTTCCCTTGTTGGAGTTAGAGATTAAAATCATACTAAAACCAGTAGTAGTAGGAAAATTAGGAGCAAGAACAGCAACTCAACCAGTTACTAAAAGTCACGCTGGGAGAAAATGTTCATAAGCAAACATGCTTAGGAAAATACGCATCATGGAGCTGAATTCTCAGTCGTAACCCAACCAGTGCCTGGAGCTCACAGTGGCAGAAGTGGGGGAATACAAAGTGGCGTAAAAGTGAGTGACAGAAGTGAATACTTAATCCAACAAATTACTGATTTGCTCTGAAATTATGTGAAGTATTACTACTGACTTCAGTATTAGAACTGGAGATGGTATCGTGGCATCTCACGGCGCTGGAAGGCCCCGTTAACAAATGGGTGCTCCATGCACATCATAGTACTGCTTTGGATCTGAAGTTATTTTGCATATTGTATTAGGCAGCAAATTACTGCTCTTATGTCAATTTTTTCTTCTCTTTGGAAGAGCTGGAACTTGTTCCTACTAACTATACTAGACTGTGGCTCATAGCCACTCCTGTCTTTAATGTAAGGTAAAAAGCACAATATTAATATTAATTAATACTGCTTTTTCTTTTCTTGAGAATGAACCAATGACAAGAGTTTAAGAGCAAATTTGCATTATAGTCATCCTAGTAAACACCCTCCTTTGAGTGCTTAAACCTCTTACACACATTTGGCCTTTACCTTATGACTGTACTTCTATCAAATGAACAAACAGGAACACATGCTGTGTTCCAATGGCAAAATTTGGCTCCTGGTGTCTAACAACCAAGAAGGGAAGATGTACTTGTTGTTTTGTAGGTAGATAGTGTTTCACACTCCTTTATTTTAATTTTGCTGTCACTGAAAAGAGCAGCACGGGGATCCTGCTGCCTCTGTTCCAAGTGTGCTGCTCTTGTTGAAGCTACAGACAGGCTCTGCCATGCCAGCGAGTCTGAAGTGCGTGCTGCGTGCTCATGCCATGCACAGTTCATCATGCTGCCCCAAACAGAGCAGCTCAGTTTGTGAATTGGAGAACCATTTAAGGTGAACCTAAAATCATTCTTGGTGGCAAAACTGAAACCATCTAAAGTCAAGCTGGGATTTTCCTGGACTCTTTCCCCCAGCCTTCAAAACATGCATCTAGCCTTTGCCTTTACTCTCATCAATAAGGAATTTAAAGTCAGAGACGCATTACTCTCAAATGTCACTGACCTTGAAAAATGCAAATAGAGGGAACAAACAGACTCTGTGTTGCAAGCATAAATACAGCGTTCCTGACATGTTGACATGATTTCCTGAAAAGTTGCCTGTTTTGCTTCACCAACCCCACGACCAACAGTTGTGCAACTCACGTGGATTAACTGAGCTACAAACAGCAACACCCAAATCTCCCATGCTGCTTAAAATATAGTACAGAAAAACCAGGCATGACTGTAGTAAGGATCAAAGATAGAACACGATGGAAGTAGAGTGGACTTCTGTCTATGAAAATAAGGGCATTTGACTCAAATGGATTATAAGGTAAAATTCTTAACATCTTTTCTTCTCTGCTGTTCCTTCAAGCAAAGATACGCTACAGGAGGTCAGAGAAATTCACCTGACTCAGCCTGCCGCCAGCCAAAGTAGGCTGCATTATCTTCTTCAGCAATTACAAAAAGCTTCACTGCCTAATTAAGAGGCTAAGACAGGGAACAGCAAATGGAAGCCCTCAAAGGATACAAAAGAAAAGGAAAAAATTCAGAAGGCGGGTGGGGTTAAAGCTGATGTTTTGAATCTCAGTAGATATGCTTCAAGACTTTTCTACCCCAGGCAGGACATAGAGAACCTAGCAAGGAAGAATAGCACGGATGTTTATGAACTGGAGTTGCTCTCCACCAAGTTTGCTGCCAGTAATAATCTGTTCTGTGCAGCAGTGTTTTGGAACAGTTTTGCTGAGTCACGCAGATTTGATCATATTAATCTCCATACAATTTTCATGAGAAGTTGCCAGAAATGAGAAGTGCTTGTATTTGCAGTATATGCTCGTGAAACTGAGCTATGATAGAATATTCATTCACGTTACAGGAGGAAACAAGTTCTGGGCCTGCTTCCATACAAGAAGCTATTTTGTCTGCTTATCTTCCAGACATCCCTTCACTCTCTGGACTATGCAGTTCCCTGGTATTGATGCTTTTATCCTTCTCCCTTTGACTTGTTCTACCTCTTAAATGAAAGAAACAAAGACATGGAATCAAAACTCCTATTTCCCTGACTTTAGTAAAGCTGTGGGGTGAACGAAACCAAGACTCCTGTGTTTGGTTATTTAATTTACAGAAGCAGGATTGTATTGCATTGGATTTAACATCCTGCTGACTGGCAGCTGCCTTATGCAAAGAACACAATTCCTCAAACAAACAGGGGGACACCAAGCACCCTTACGTGGAAAATAAGGTACCATTCTTTGAGAAAGGTCAAACAATCCTATCAACATCTTTCAAGAGCTTACCAAGCTTTCATATGAAAAGCAGTTCCACGCCAAGGAGCATTGCTTCTTACAGCAAGCTAAACAAACTGCAGACAATAGTCTGTACTCAAAAACTTGCTCTACTTCTACATAAAGCTAAACCAGCATTTCATCCCACGTACTGCCCCAACACATGGAAATTCTGTCACTCACTTTCACGCTGGTCACTGAATTTATTTCTTACTGTGCTGTGGCTAGACAATAAACAATGAGGTCAAATCATGTGCATACTAAACTAGCAGCAGAGACATGCATTTGTAGGGCTGTGTTACTGAATAGCAGCTCTCGGAGCTTCCCATAGTAGTGACCACATGTGTTGTACACCTCTAGTCACCTGCTAGCATCTCTTTTCTGACCTCTACCCGTGCAGCCCCACAGATAACCTGCTGTGTGCAGGATGCCTTTTTTAGATCTTCTGCTCTGCATTGAAAATTTATGAGCAGAGCTCACCACAGAGTTGCATTTTGGATGCTCAAGAAAATAATAATTAGAATATATTTATATATACAATAACTAATCATAATAATGATTAGTTTTGTCCTCTGTTTCTGTCAGTCAGTCCATGGCAGTAACTTATATAGTCACAGAAATAAGGAAGGGAGATCCTTCAAAGGTATGAAGTTCTTGGATTGTCAGTGACAGTTAGAAGAGAGACACCTAAATCAACAATCCCAAGAAAGCCTGCAGTATGAATTCAGTTCTTATGTGTTCAGTTGACCTACACTGCCAAAGCAACCACCCAGCAGATACTACTTCTTGCTCAGTTGTCAGCTGAGGTAGATGGGCATCGTCGCCATATTTAATGGGAAACAAGGGGCACTGCAGGGTTGGGCCAGTCATAAAGAACAAGAATTAGAATTACTGCTGTATAAAAGAGAAAGAACAGCAAACACAAATTCTCAAGATGGATTTCTGCTGTTTCTAGTATAATGTATAACAAGGCTTGCACTTGGTGCTCAATATAACCTAAATGAGCACAGAATTTAATGCTGGCAGAAACCCTCACTTGTTATTTATGACTGCGTATGTCACCAAGGAAAGAGAACCACGAGTGAATATAGATTTTATATTCGTTTACAGCAGATATGACTTAAATGCAGACCCTTTTTGTATTAGAACCCTCAATTGGACATCTAGGCTCACATGAATTATGGAAAGTCATCTCGCACATCCTAACATGGATGCCCACAGAGAGTTTGAAAATTGTTGCTTACCAACAATCATGTGGTTGCAGACATCACAGAAGGTGGGCTTTTTGAAGATGTGCTCCTGGAAGATGTGAGCCTTGTTGTTTTCTGACAGCTGCTGGGTTCTGGTGGGCGAAGATGCCTGGCTCTCCGAGCTGGGAAGCTGCCCTGTGCTTGTGCTCACCTCTGGCATCAAGTCTACTTGCAGCTTCACATCACTGTTAGTCCTCTGGAAGAAGTTGTCTGCACTTTTACTCCGCAAGCTTTTGGTCTTGAAGGAGAGTGATCGTTTGAGTTTCTGCAGCTGCAACAAAGAAGCCAATTACAATTAGTACCTCTTTCTTTTCAACAGCAAGGTGAGGCTCTTGGTTTTGGCATCTGCTGCTGCTAAGTGAGCAAAAGACAGCTTCTTATTCCCGGGGCACCTAGGAGCCATTAGCAAACTTGGAGCCACCTGAGCAATGAAACCAACTCTAGAATTTATCTAGCAATTTCAAAATTAAAAAAATAAACAACAACAACAGGTCCCTACTTGAAAATAAACCACTCTTCATATATTTTCTCATGTGGTAATAAACTTCATATCCCTAAGAAATGCTGTCTTTTCTTTTACGTATGACAATGAAGAGATACTGCAGAGAGTTGCACACATACTCCCTTGGAGAATATATTCTTTGCATTCAAGCATGAGAAAAGTTAGAGCCATTGTATAGCCTTCAGCAGCCTTTAAAGCCATTTCAGGAACAGATGTTAAACAGCATTACAAGAAGAGTGAATTCAGTAAATAAATTAGATATAATGAAAAGCCTCAAATTTGGCAGAAACAGACTACACAGTTTTGACAAAGGAACACTTGCTTGGTTTTTTTAAAAAAGGTAAAAAAAAGTTGAGGAGCAATAACTGTATAGTTAAGTAGTCAACTGATAGTTAATGCATGAATTAACTCATACTAATTAACAAGCATCCATATATCCATATTCTTATAAACTGCATTGTGTAATCATTACCAGATGTTACAGCTGGAAAAAACATTGTGGTTAGAATTGGAAAGAAACAAACAGGGAAGGAACGCTCACCTGTATCCAAAGATCCAGGTTCACAGGAAAGACTCCACAGAGGAAGGATCTCCAACAAGAAACCCTTCCCCAGTTGCAGTCAGCCCTTAAATGGGGTCTAGGAGAGGTGCAGCCAGGCTCCACCCCTTCGGTCACACAGCTGAATTGCCTTCACCTGTGCTGCAAGGCTGACTCAGTGCTTGCCCCAGGTGAGCAATCAGTGGTTCAGGTCGTGACTCAACAGTTCCCATACACCAGAATATTAAGTATCAGAATGAGGGATAATCAACTCAAATTTATACTGTTTCTTTACCCACAAAGTGTCTTGTACTTTATCAGAGCTCCTTTCATCCTTCCTCCAAAGAGTTTTATGTAAGGCTGAGAAGGGCACAAAGGTGATCCACAGCAGACATCAGCATATCAACCACATCATTTTGCAATTTCGTCACGTTGATCACCCATGAGTAGGGTAAAAGGAAAGCATCCTGGGAAAGCCAGCTTTGCATCCACTTTATCTTTGCTGTCTCTCAAGTGTAATACCTCCATCCCATCTTTTTCCTCAGCATTAAATCAACCATCATTTCAATCACTGCTGCAATTATCTGGACAAATGTGATATAACATCTGATATTTTCCATGCCTCGTTGGCTGGCTGTGGCAAACCAGCAGGAATGGTTTATATTAGAAGCTGTTTACGTTAGAAACAGTGACGATTGGGAATCATAATTCACACTGATATAAAGGGAAGAGTTCACATGCTTTCCCAAAAAAGCATAGGACTGTCACACTGACATAGTGGCCCCAGGGTACATGTTCTTCCCGGTTCTAATTTCTGATCCATCCATTTTCTTTGCAATGCAGCCAAAACTGCACTATGGGATAGGAGCCTGCATGTATCCTGAGGGGAAGCCTCTCTACCACTTCCACACATAGGCAGCTTGCCCTTGAAAAAGGGAGACTCTCCAGCTCTCTCCCCACTTTGCACAACACTGAACTCCTCAGTCTCAATGAATGGGCAAAAAACATCGCCTCTAATTAACAGCATTTGCGTTTGCTACATGGAAGGTTTCCCAGCATCCTGCTAGAGAAACCTTCTGCTCCCTGAGCTGCTTCTCCATAGTGGATTTGGGAGCTGGGAGGATCAGAGCTAGGGGCCTGTCCCACATCTCTCTGTGGGCACAACAGGGGGAGTCCTGGATCCAAAGGAAAGAAATTCCCACCAGTTTGTCAAAGTCTCAGTGAGACGAGTAGTTAAGTAAGTCAATAAATGCCAACTTTGAGGCAAGAGTGACTTCTGTTTTCTGAAAGTCATTCAGCTGAAGGTAAGTAGAGGACTTGCTGAGCCTGAAAACCACCTTACAACAGCACCAACAAAGTGAGATTCTTCCTCTCCTGCTTAGATGTTAAGACACTGGCACCCAAAATCACTGTGGTTACTAAGTGCTGAAACTACTTCATCTTCCCAGTGACAGCCAGAAGCTCAGTAATAACTTGCCCCTTTGCCACCAAAGTGCTTCCCACCGAAGTGAGACCTAATCAGTGCAGAAAAACACAGAATTACACCACCACAAGGTGACTGAAATGGCATTCATTATTGATTTGCCATCCGTTCCTATTGTGTCACACGAAGTTAATTAAATTTCAAAATACTGCTTCTGCCACAGAAAGAAGACTAAGCTGTGCAATACAGTATTTGTTTTATCATGAATCAACTGTCTTTTAAGCTCAGTGATGCAGTATGTCTCAAGGAGTTCTGCTTTTACTACCTTTACAGCATTCTCCTGTGCAGTCGTTTGCCAGTTTAGAGATATTCCAGCACCCTTTTTTGCCCTGGGCAGAAAAGTCAGTAGTTTTCCAAAGATGGGTAGTACAGCATTCAGGCCATGAATGTCCAAACCTATGCATATGCACTCAGGTGAGTGTGCAGCTGTGCATACTCCATACATCTATAGCCTCGGGAGTGTTCAGAACAGAACACAGATACTCAGGAAAAATTAGACCAAATTACATCTACAGGCTTGGCAGGCATCTCTGCATGAGCTACTAATCCTGAGCACTGTCCTGCGCTAAAATCATTTTCAAGACAAGGTGGGCATTCTTGCTGTTACTCAAATGGAGAAGAATTCTCATTGTGAAGTGTGCTACAGCCTGGCCCACTCTTTAACTGGAAGATTTTAAATGTAAACACTGGCTTATAACAGGCCTGGTTTTGATCTGCCACTAACTGATTTAATTTACATGTGATGCTACTCCTAAGGGAGAAGCTTGGAATTCAACTGGGACCAGCTCTCTCAATAGAGAAAGAAGTATGCAAATTTTAGTATGATTAATTTCCTTCTGCAGAATTAATTCAGTCCAAAGTTAAGTCACAGACAAAAACACTACTGAACTTTGCAAAGAGGTGAGACTGCAATCGCTCCGTGTTTGACCCTGCTCCAACACTTCAGTGAAATATCATAAACAAAATCATGGACTGAACAAAGACCTAAACCAATCACTCAAAGGCTCTAAGAAACACACTGGAGATAATTCTCCTAGGCCTTTCACATTTTCTGTCCTGAAGGGAAGGTTACAAACAAGCTTTTGCTTAAATAAATAAATAAACAAATAAAATAAGATCAATTTAAAATTCCCACAAGCACAAGAGCTTTTCTAGAATGATGATAGGATCACAAGACTTCACAATACCCATCCTTCAGAAACGTGAACTTTTGCTATCAAATTCAAGATGTTCTGGTGGGTTGGAATTAGATGGGGAAAAGAGTTTGTCTCTGGTCAAAAGCTTTTTATCAGTCACACAACTCAATATATTAAACTTGTGGACAAGGAGAAGATAAGTGAAATAGCTAAACCCTGGATCTTTATTAACCTTTTTTTCAGCATTATCCAACACAATCTCCATCTTCTTCAGAGTTATTGAATGTTCGTGCTTCAAGGAATCAGGAAGCCCTGATGAACTACAACTTATCAACACCTCCTCTGCTTCTGAATTCCCTTTACTACAGCTCTTCAGCTGCTATAACCAGAAAGCAGCAGGCAGCAAAAGGACAGCTACTGAAATTCATTCCTAGAGTGATGTTGTTGCCAGTGATATTGATTTGAATGGGAGTTGCACCTGCCCTTGCTGAGGCTTTATTTTATGTGGAAAGCACACAACTCTCGTCTGCAATTTCGGTTTAAGAACTTTGAGGTGAAGCTGGGAAGATATCAGTGATTTGAACTGCTTTATATACACTAACTTTGAAATTAGAAAAGATAAACATATCAATTTCCAATTGTCCACTCTGCAAAGAATAGTTTGGGCTCCTAATCGCCTCCCTGATATCTAGAAGCTTCATTCTCAAGACTCTCTGGATCTGCCTACAACTGCAGACAACGTGGCTCAATAGGAGCAGATCAGCAGAGCGAAATGGGGGGTGTTGAAATGCATACGGCATGCAAACATTTCAGGTCACAGAATACTCTGAAAGAGAGCAGCCCATTAGCCCTTCTGTGCATTAAGTGCACACGTGGAGCAGAAGCAAATCCCCAAGAGATGCATTCTGCACTCAGTGAGACAGCGGGGTGTTCCATAACTGAGAGGTTAGCTTTGAAACTGCACTCCCAAACCAAATTAAAATGCTAAGGTAAGTTTCCTCTCCACCATCACCAGTTCTCTAAAAAAACTTCTCCATCACGCCTTCTTACCATTCAAAGCTCAGAGGAAGCCCTGCTCCCTTCACGTGATTGCTTCACTCCTCTCTATGAACTCTCTCCTTAGTTATCTCAAGGTGAATGGTAGTTAACTGGAAAGACAAGCAGTTTGATTATATTGTGTTTGCTTGGACCATTAGCTTTGGCATTCAGAGCAATCCTGTTGGGAGTTATTTACTTCCCAACATGCTTCATCTTGCTCCCTGTTCAGCCACTGCTAGCCATCCTTGGCAGTAGTAGAGGCTCCTGGATGGCACGGGGCCAACAAGAAGGTTGGTTGTATAAATTTCCACACTTATCTTCCACAAGAAAAGAACAAATGAAATAAATCATCAGCTGTGCTTTACTGACAGGCCATATGACAAAACCCTGATTTTCAGATGTCAGCTGTGCTAGCGTCCTAGTAAAAACAACAAAAAAGTGATTGCCTGCTCTTCTCCATCCCTTTCTTCACAGTAGTGTTAGCAACATCATTAGACGGATTACAAGTAACACGAAGCATTAATGGTGTTGGGATGAATCCTTAGGACAGTTTGATTGCTGCAATTCTTATAAA